TGCGATAACATACATACAAAAAAATAATAAATATTCCGACGAATTGATAACCTCCTTCTTTTCTGAAGCCGGTTTAAAAAATGAAAAAAAAAAGAATTTAAATCTGATAAATTGGACATATTGAAAATTATTCATATAAATTTATAAACTAGAGTTGAAAATTCAAATTTTGTTTAATTTTTGCGATAGAAAAAGACAATTTGTTCCAACCTTGATAGCGATCACTAAAAATTTGGATACAATTTTGAAATTTTCGTGGATGCCTTTATTTTGTATGTACGTAGAAAAAAATAAAGTCATGCCCCACGATGTTGATATTTTAATGCCCACCCTATTGGATATGTTGCAGAGGTTTTGATTTCTTTCAAGGTAAATTATAAAAACATTAATGATTAAAATTTTCCAGTTACTGAAGCGAAACACAGTAGTTAACATTTATTAGCATTATTTCTTTTGAATTACATACTTATCTCTCAAGGCTAGATATGGGCGAATGATAAAGGAGTGACGAAAAAATCATATACATATACATGTGATCATTGAAGTCGTGATAACGAGCAGAGGCACATGCAAATAATGCATTACCTTTGTATATAAATATGTATGTATGTATATATCTGAACCTTAAAGTCATTTAAGGTGTTAATAGTTTATAAAGTTTAAAAGTATCGATATTGAGTGAAGAAAGATTGATTCGAGTGTGGCACAAATAAATACTCAGTCATGATTTTATGATTTTGTGCACAAGTACTATTTTTAAGTCAATAAGCAATTGAGTAATGATCGATAGATGGTATAATTATATCTTTGATGTTGGTGACGACATTTCTCAGTTGAGAAAAAGTATCGAAAGAGATTGGTCTAGCGGTGAATGAGGACCAGACAAAGTATTTCCTGGCAAAACATACAAAGTCCTTGCGTAGTGAGAGGCTTTGTCTACCCAGGATCCAGCGCAAACACCACCAACAACGTCAGCCTGGAAATCAAGCGAAGACTAACTCTTGCAAACAGGTGCTACTTTGTGCCGGGTAGGAAATTGAAAAGCAGAGCTCTCACAGAGCTCTCGCATAATGACCGTACTTTTATATGGACGATGTCGAACAAAGATGAGAAGGCATTTCGAAGGTGATTCTGAGAGAACTACATATCCTACGCAAGATCTATGTTTCTGTCCTGAAGACGGGTACCGAAGAATATATATTGACGAACTGTGCGAGCTGTTTCACGACATGGACATAGGCAACGAGGCTCCATTGAAAAGAACCGACTCGACAACCATGATTTGACAACGAAACAAAGGACGCGCCCACGAACACAATGGAAGAACCAAGTGCATTTGGGATGTACAACTGGCTAAACTTGCAAAAGAAATAAACAATTGGCGAAGTTTCAAGATTTCGGCCCCAAACCGACGAACAATTGCAGGGCCAAATAAGAAGTAATCTAAAAAATATGCTGAATTTTTTTTTGAGCGGTCGCACAAACATTTTCATCCGCGTAATCTTTTAATAATTTATGCTAATATCTTTTAATAATTTATGCTAATGTGTACATATATCGAATTGTGTTCTTTAATTCGAGAAGTGTCTATTTAGTTTCGATATGAATCTAATACTAAATTTTTACAGGGTGTTAGAGCAGCAAAATATATATATCGTTTAGGAGTAGTAATCAAAATAAAACGCGGCAAAATTAAATACTACATAGAGAAAAAAACTTTGTAAACTAGAACAAAACTACTAAGAAATCTCTAAGGTTTTTCTTCAAACAGAAAACAGACATTGAAAAGAAACTGCGCTGATATGGCGCCGAGTCCGACACCTACTAAATGGCAATTTAAAGCGCTACTATTGGACTAAGGGATATTAACAAATTTTTATACCCCAGCGCACTTGTGCACAAGGGTATATTAATTTTGTTCACATAACGGTTGTTTGTAACAGGCAAAACGAATCGAGATAGATATAGACAAATGTATACATAAATGATCAGAATGGAAAGAGAAATCGATTAAGCGGTGACTGTCTGTCCGTCCGTCCGTCCGTCCGTCCGTCCGTCCGTCCGTCTGTGCACACGATAACTCGAGTAATAATTGAGATATCTTAACGAAACTTGGTACATGCACTCCTTTCTGGCGTAGGACCGATTGAAAATGGGCGAAATCGGGCAATAACCCCGCCTACCTCCCATATAACGGTAATTTTCAGAAATATGAAAACTGCGATATTTTAGTAACTACTGAAGATTATTCACTCAAAATTGATATTTGCAATAAGTCTTAGACGAAAAATAAGAATATAACAAAATTTTGGAAAATGGGCGTAGCCACGCCCACTTATGGTTACATGTATATAACTTGGTAACCGCTGCACCAATTTCTTCCAAACTTGGCACAGTTGTTGACCTTGGTATAACATACGAAATTGCCAAAAAAATTTAAAATCGGGCAATAACCATGCACGCATCTCATATAACGGTAATTTAGAGAAATACGAAATCTTCGATAAATTAGTAAATATGAAAGCTAATTTATTCAAAATTGATGCTTGTAACAACTCTTTACCAAGAAATACGCTATATAAATATATATGATAAAATTTTGGAAAATGGGTGTGGCACCGCCCACTTATGATCACATGTATATCGGTAACCGTTCGACCAATTTGTATCAAACTCGGTGTGGTTATTGTGCTTGCCACATAGAAGAAACGTTGAAAATTATTGAAATCGGACTAAAATTACGGCCGCTTTTCATATAACGGTAAGTTTCAGAAATGCTTGAAACTTCAATATTTCGAAATTTAAGGATGCTAATTTACTCAGAATTGATACACCCCGGCTTACCATCTAGCGATAGCTTTCGGAAAGGTGAAAAACATAATATTTAATACTTGCGCCGGGTATTTAATGTTCGGCGCCGCCCGAACTTAGACTTTCTTACTTGTTTTTTTCGTTTTTCATCTGTTTTACCTCTTAGCCTAGAAATTTTTCATAGAGATAATCTTGTTTTTATAGGCCATATTTTGCTCTGTGTAGGAGCATTAGTTTTACGAACTGATTAAAACCTGTACTAAGTAACTAAAAATAAATAAAGGTTAGGTTAGGTTGGCTTATTCTGGCAGGCGTTGAGCTACACATGGCCCTTGGCAGTTGGAGTTCGTTTTTAGACGGTAGAGTAGACATCAACATTTTTGCGAATTTCAGTATTAATTTTAGCTCTAATCTTTTAGCTTCTCGAATTGATTTTAGTCTTTTGATAGTGCAGGACCTCGGCATGAGAGATGCTCTAAGGTTTCTCTGGTCTGCCGCTCAGACCGGTTAGTTTCGCCTGTGTTCGGAGTGCACATACTTTTTGCAGTTTTTCAGGTGGTTAACTTTTTCCATCTAGCCCCGAACTGCCTAGTTATACTGTTCTCGAATTCGTTATACAAGTGTTGTAGTTTGTCGGTTCGAGAGTCACACTGGTAGCGCTTTGGCCGGTACTATCTGCTATTTTATTACCCTCTATTCATACATACATATGTGGCCGTTCAACCACTCCCATTGTCATTTTAGAACCGTTCTTCAAAATTTGAGGATTTTATTCCCTTGCGACATCCCTCCTCCCAATCGTTGTGCGAAACCTTTTAAAGCAGAATTACGGACCAGAAATAGTAAAACTGCGATTTTAATTATTCTCTCTGATGTCAGCATATTTTTTAAAAGAACTTTGAAATTTCAAAGGTATGATTAATTGAAAAAATTATTTAAAAAATTCAGTGCCTTTTAGAATAACAATATGGGTATCAAATAAAAGATAAAATTCTGCAGAACTACAAAAGATAACAGTTTTTGTTGTATAAGGACGAATAGCTATTGAGAAGGTCCTTTTAAAATTTTATCCTTGAATATCCTTGAAAATTTGCAATATTTATTTTTGAAAAAATTATATGCTATGCACTAATACACACACGACTACATCCTAGAATTTCACCCTTTGAACTTTATTTTTTTTTTATTTAAATTCTTTAAATAAAATTTCTTTAGTTTTACACAGTTTTCTCTTTCATTTGGTACTCATATTGCTATTCTACATTGCTCTGAATTAAAAAAAAAAATATTTGTTCAATAAATCATACCATTGAGATTTTAAATAAATAACCCGACATCAGAGGAAAAACTAAAAACGCAGTTTTACTATATTTGGCCAATAGTTTCGCCAGTATATTGACTTTTTCGTGTTTTGAAATTTCTTGTTTTTTTCGCTTGTCTGTGCTGCCTGTGCTTCTCGCCCGAATTGAACTGTAATTGAATTCCCCTATGGCCGTCAATCTACCCGCGGATTTAGCAGCACGTTAAACCGAGGATTCCTTCTAGAACAGCCATAACAAGTCGTGATAGAGCGGTATTGGTCTGACTATTGCTATCTAAGACCAATGCATCCGAGCAAGTGACAGACCCCAAGTGACCCCCAGCATTCGTTTGCATGCATTTAGCACTTTGCTAGCCTTCTTAACTCTTTCCTCAAGACTACGCCTCCACAGCGACTTACTATCCAATACTACTCCCAAATACTTTGTGTGGTCTTCCGTTGACAGCGCGATGTTACCCAGCCTTGCGGGTCTTTACACTGAGACCTTATATCTGCTTGTGAAGAATATTTGGTCAGTTTTGTAATGTAATTGTATTTTCAAAAATGGCCTATAAAAACTATAATTCCTCTTGCTTGAATCGCTCGCTTATTTATCGCAAAAAGTTGCACTTTTTTATTCAGTGTGCTTCTGTTTAACGGAAACAACTGGCACACACTTTCACCTGACTCAACTACACCAGGCGTCATCTAGCGGTAAATAGATGTGTTCTGGTAAAGCTATTTCCAAGAAATTACCTAAAAGACGAAGAAATACACCCTCAACTGCGGTCAAAGCTTTCGCAATACAAAAGCTTTTCACCACTTGCTAAATGTGTTGAAAAAAAAACGAATTGACAAAAGAAAAAATATACGTTAATTTCAAACTCACCGCTTTGCGCTTATCCGCCTCGGTGGCCGCTGAATTCGAACGGCTCCTAAACAAATCCATTACTTTGGTCATTGGTGAGCGGGACGCATCGACACGTCGTACCGCTGTGACGGTGTGGTAGTACTGCAAACATTGAAAGAAAGGTGAATTGCAACATTTTTGTGAGAAAAAAATAAAAATAATTGAAATGAGTGTTCACAAAACAAAACAAGCTACCATTAATTAGCACATTTTTGGGTGCTTGTTTTTTTAGGAAAGTAGCAGAGCAGCTTAAAAGTTAGCCGACAAAATTCTTCAAATGCTTTTAAAAATTTAAGTAAATACTTTAAAATATGCGCATACTGAAATTAGTGGGCACGAAAGGTGTTAAATATGATAATTCACCTAAGCATGTGCGCACATTAGAGTTTGTATTAACATCTTTCAAGCTGTTCGCCTCCCGGTGACTAAACCTACACACACTCACTCCCTCTCTCACTTACTTGTGCATCGCTGCCCTGATGCGGATGCGCCGAACCATCTTTGTACTTATTCTTTGCACTGCTACCCTCGGCGGTGGTTATCGTCACCGCGGGATGTTGACGCTTATCGTGATGATGATGATGACCTATCAGCCCTGAATTCTGCATGGCCACTTTCATTTGATTCATTATGCCACCACCGGCGCCAGAGTGTGTGCTGCTCGCGCTGCTGCTATCCGCGCCAGTCGCACCGGCCACAACGCCACTGCCCGCCACCAATAGGGCGGAATCTTTGCGCTTGGCATCCGATTTGGCGCGCTGGCGAAAGACATCGAATATGGTGGG